GCTCTGCTGATTACTTCTCCGGAAGAACTGCATGCACCAGGCTAGGTCGAAGGAAATCCAAACCATCAGTGAACAATTCTGGGGTACTTCACGGTGCAGTCCTATTCTCATGCTTATTTTGTACGTATATTAGTGACTAGTCTGCTAACGCCCCTACTTCTTTCTTGAAATACGTTGACGATGTAGCTTCATATCACGACATCTCTATTTCTTCTGATCTTTCACAATTTTCTGACAACTTGGAAAACGTTCAACAATATTCCGTCACATCTGGTCTCTCCCTGAATCCTTCCTTATGTTTCCAATGTCTCTTTAAATTATCACGCTCATCTTTTCCAAATGAACCGGTATCGACTGGCTCTGAACCAGTATCCCAGGTGAGCTGCATTGAATACTAGGGTTCTTTTTGTTGATACTAATCTTCACTAGACCTGTCACATTTAACACATCGTCAGTAAACTTCGACGACTTTCTTTCCATATACGTTAACTTCGTCAGTTTCATATTTAACAATCGATTATCTCCAAATTCGTTTACCAAGGTGTTTTCCTCGTTTAACTTTATTGCTCACCTTTTGAATTAGGTTGAAAGAGAACTGCGCTCGTTTTATTGGTTATGAACGCCTCATTGTGGATCCGTTGCAGTATATTACACCACAGTTCCAAAGACTGCAATCCATCACAAGTAACCAAAAACGGAGTGCTGTGGTGAAAGCTGACAATTTCTAGACCATCAGGATACCATAAGTTCAGGTTGAAGTTGAACTTCTTTTCACTTGACAAACACAACGGGGTATTTCGCAAATACCGGAAAACACCAGACTGGAAAACCGAGGGGGGTGGGGTCGGGGATGAAAGACGATTAGCGGTAATTGGTGTGCGATATTTATCAGCGTGCGAAGGAGACAAAGTAGATTTATACACATTTTCACCCTGTGATTATGAGGATTACGGGAAACACTGAAAGCACTGTTGCGTGAGGATGTACGCATGTGTTTGTGTGATGGTACAGATCAGTAGTAATCAACCGAATAATTATAAGTTATTGGAACGGTCAACATTTCGCTCAGGTTCACCAAATTACTCATTTCGGGAAGACTGATGCACCAGCCAGTTGGCCCACGGTTTCAATTGGGATATGGAACATCCGACCACAAGGCACTTTGAGATGCAGGGATACTGAGAGACACNTGTTCGATGAAGCACTGTGAAAGGTTGCAAGTCTTCATCGGACTCGTAAACTCGATGTGGTTCACCGGGTCGAAGGAGTCTGCCCACATAATCGTGGCGATCTAGACCGAAACAAATGAATACAAACAAAATTGTGAACGGTGGATGTTCCAATTTTTAATTACTTCGTGAAGGGTACGGCAAAGGAAAAATCATTTACGATAGTGACCTAGGTCAATATGCACTTGAATATATATATATATATATATATATATATATATACATATATATATATATACTTAAAACACTACATCGCATCTGTTACCCGAAGGAATAAGCGAAGCATTGGGATCAAAGTATGCCAACAGCTCATCAAACCCAAACACTCGCAATTGATACCTGATGCCGAAATGAGAACTAAAATGATACAAAAAGTTCCAAGGTATTCCTGGAACAGATCAAAAGACTGACGATCGAACCGGACGAAGTGGTGCTCTTCTTCGACGTGATCACTGACATACCGAAACAAACGACCATCAAAAATACTCGACACCTGTTGAAAAACGACCAAAATCTACAACCAAAACCGGCGCTATCCGTAGACGAACTAGTGAAATTCGTAGATCTCTGTATGAAAACCTACTTACAATTCTACAGGAAGGTGTCAGCAGATACTAGGAACTCATACGGATTTACCACTCTCCGTTTCAGTTTCAGTTTTCACAACCATTAACCATGCACTTTCGTGCACCGGCTTTGGTTGCTGTCTTTTGGTGCCATATTTGGATAAAAGAGCAGAAAGAAGATTAGAATGTTGAAAGCGAATTCAAGCGGAAGATGGAGAGTTTATATAGAATGTTTTAGGGGGAAAATGAGTGGATGCACGGGCGCCACTCTCGGATCTGCTTGTAGATGCCGTTATGAAACACTTCGAAGCCAAGGCTTTTGAACTACCACAGTCTCGTCTGTGAATCTAATATTTGGACACAATCGTTATATTCAGAGCCTCCACGGTAAATCAGTTCCACCAAATCATGAATGAGCAGGTATCTGGGATCAAATTTTTACACGAGAGGGAGAGAAAGATGGACAACTATCCTTCCTCGAAATCCTTCACATGAGATAACCTGACGGAAGAGCAGAGACCCGTTTATCGCAAACCGATTGCGACAGATAGTATTCTCAATTACAACAGTAACTGTCCTTTTTGTGCCGCCTGAAAAGTTGTTTGTGAACTCTATTCCGCGGAGTGAACACAAAATGCAGCACACCGGAGCTAACGGCAAGAGAAAGAAATCGATTCTTTCAACTGTTCTTATCAAAATTTTAGCAACGCGTGCATTAGGGGAAAAGAAACAAACGACACGCAAAAGAGGGAAGTTGGATAACGTTACCCTACATACGCGACACGTCAGAAGCTACCGAACGTACACTACGACCGTTGGGAATCAAGATAGCTCATAAACCAGTAGCAATTGTTTCTCTTCAACGGCAAGGATCGAGTCGAACAGCACGAACGATCAAGTGTAATCCACGCAACCCGGCGCATGGACTGCAATCAACACTAGATGGGTGAGATAGGCAAACGACTTCATATTCGCCTAAAGGAACACACGCGCAGACCCGAGGTCACCAATCTGAAACCACTGCGCACGAACAGGTCACGAGATCGAGATCGATAACGCAAAGGTGGTGGCACGCGTTAAGATGAAAAGGGAAAGATCAATTCTCGAAGTTCTACACTAAGTCAGTTTGTTCAAAAGCTGAAAATTCACCCTACGGATACATAAAGCTTAGTTTGACTTGACTTGTCGAGACAGACGAACATTACGTGATACTCTTAAAACCTGCGACGATTGGTGGACCTATAGACACACGCCAATTATATGACCGAGTCTCCCGGCTGTCTTAGATTTCAGATTATCATTAAGTACTGTGAACTAAAATATCCACTACGCTACTGATTCATATCAAATTTGCACCTAATCAATATATTATAAGTATGGATGTTTATTGGCAAAAACGATAAGTTATTTTTTTCTGAAATGGCGAAACGGTTGTTTTCGGGACCTTCCACTGGTACGCAAAACCAGGTATATTTGTAAGCATATTCAGTTAAGCCGTTATAGACAGTAACAGACATCACGAGGAGACCGCACCTTGACGCAGTGTGACGGTTTGCGTACCTCTATGACCCAACGAGATACACAGGATGGCTTTAATTAAACCAAAAATCTTAACGTGCCCGGAAGAGCAAAGGATGGTGGTGGTGCAGTGGTTTAGTCGATGTCATTCCTTCATTCAAACAGGCAGTCATGAGACAGCAACCAAAAACGATGCAAGAAAGTGTATGGTTAATGGTTGTAAAAAGTGAACTGGACCGCAGTTTTCGTTTTCAATATCTTGGTTCTCTCATATTGCTGAACCTGATCATCATCATCATTGTACAGCGAAATACAAAGAAGCGAGCTTCACTGGTCGTTGCTAAACACGCAGTTAGCGGGAATATGTAAAGTAGACAGGGATTGGACCTATTTGAGAGTGGGGGAAAGAAAGTGAACCTTCGTGGTCAACACACAGAGTACACAATCCAACTGTTAAATCCTACTCTTTACTTACGACGTAGGGGAATAATCGAGCGACGCAAACCGCAACGGGGTGGAAATCACCTTAGTTTAGCCGAGTACGTCTTAGTGCCACAAAACGGTTCAGTAGAAGCTGTACAGAAAACTTACCTGCTATGTCGAATAAACTAATACCCCGATAGTATTCACATGGTTTTCATCCTTTTTGGAGAAAGGCATCAAAATCGAAGTGATTCGATCTGTTGAGTAAATCTTAGGGTCCCAAACGGAACATGACGAGTGAAGTAGGGAGATTCAAATAGCCAGAGAGCAGTTTTCAAAGATTTTAGTGGGTTCTACGTCCTCACCCGAAAGGCGGAGCGGAGCTATTTCTTCATGATTGTGATGGCATTCAGTATAAAAATGGAGATTGGATCAAGAGGCAGATGAGAGAGTTCTACCCTCTTGGAAATCCTCTCTTCTGTGTAGGGAATAAGATCCTCGGAAAAGCTAGGCAAGGTCTGACTAGTTAGTTGATTGCTTTACGCTGATCGTATGACACGGGAAAGGCTTTCAGTGTTGTCTAAGTTGGCTGCTGTTCGTGTTAATTGCCATTTCGTTACAGTACGGGATTCTGTTGTTTCGGGCATATTGCAAAGCAACCCGGTTGAGGATACGGTAGTAGGAGGATTGAGCTAGAAGTGTCTCCCAAGCCGCTTACACCAGTTGGATAGTGCGGTCTGATGACCAGTACTTTTGGTGATGTATTCCGGCACTTAATACTCGTATACTAACTTTTTGTACCAACATTCTTTTTAATTGCGTCTTAACCGAATTCTGTGCTCCGTCCTATACCGGGCGTTCGGTTCGACGTTCGTTATCTTACCATCAGCGTATGGCATTTCTTACTGCTCTCTACTGGAGACATATTTGTTTTTTCAGGGAAGTATGGTTTCATCAAAACAGAAAGAAGACAAATGTTGCGAGATGTTAACATTTCGTTTAATCTTCTCAGTCGCTGACTTAAAACAAACAGGCACATATATAGCATATCGGACGAATCAATTTTGGTGAACAAACGTGTACAAGCATACAATGATTACTAAATTTAGAAGTAGAAGGTCAGCTCCACGGTAAGTGGATCGCTTGTATCAAAAACTTCTGTGCGCATAGGGTCGGGTGATGTAATCGAACAAGCAGTGTTTCACTAATCGCTAAAAGTTTTGCATTTCGATTACGTAATAGTGGTTTTAAAGACCAATTGGGGTCAACTGTCTGTCTTGTTACCATAAGATGTTTTGCAACAGATGATCCTGGATTTCTTGCCATCACTGGACCATCATTTGTCGGTTGCGTCATCGATTTCACCAACCACTTTGGAATATGTTCGGCCATCCGTTGTGACAGCTGACGGTTTTTCCTGCCTATGTATGCGTCACCGCAACTGCAGGTGAACTGGTATACAGTGTGTGAGACGGAACTGGTTTGCCAGCCAGGTTTACGTTTGTCCGAATCGATTCCACGAGTGGAGGCGATGAGTCTGAGTTGAGCAGCTGGGAATGTACGGTCTAGAGCTGATCTCAACTTCTGGCGCACATCATTGTAAATGTGATCACCTTTGAACGCAAGCTTGATGTAAATGGCCTTTTTATCGACGTTTTGGGACGGGTTACCTTTTGGAACTGGTCTACAGTGAATATCTATAAACCTTTCTGGGTAGCCACTGTTTAGTAATGTTCTCCTTAGGAAATCTTCTTCTTCCTTCAGTGTATCTGGAGAACAAATGTTTCTCGCCCGATGAAATAGGGTTCTCACAAGCCCACGTTTGTAAGTCATGGGGAAAAGCTGGAAAAGTTCAGATATGGACCGCTCCATGTCGCTTTTCGGTGGACTGAGCGTTGTAGTGTCCTATTCGTCCGTCTTGTAAATTTTACGCCAAGAAAAGCACAGTGTTGTTGGTTTCCGTTTCACGAGATAGATGTGAATGTACTAACTGTTGTAAAAATGTATTAAAATGTTCAGAATCTGTAAGAATGAAAATATCGTCCACGTAACGTTCGTACAGGGTGGACTTAGAAATATTATCGCCTAGCTTTTTCTGGCGGACGTTTTTCTAGGCATGATTGAGAAAAAGCGTCATACCGAGCATCAACGGGGCCTTATATATGACCCTACATATGTGGTTCGTAACTTTAAGTAAAGGGGATTGGGTTACGTTTTCCCATAGGTGAACACAAATTCCTCCGGTCTGTCCTTAAAAACCTGAAGTTCATACAAAAAGGTGTATAACAAGTAGATAACAGAGATAATAAAAACAACCCCACGTGAACAGTTTAACACCAAGAATCTTACCGATAAACTGACGTTCCCACTCTTTCAACCTGTCCAACTGTTCAACAGAAAGATCAGAAAGATCATCGTATGTAGTTCGAACGAATGACTCATCCGCCATGAAGCAAGCTAATGCTCGTGACACATCTCGACCCGCGAAAGATGCATACGGACCACCTGAGAGAAAATGACTGATTACTTGAGAACGGACCTCTCACTTCTTGAGTATTCAGGGCCGTTCTTCGTTACGTCAAAAACTTTGCCATTCACCGCAACTAATATGCGTTTATCAGGTCCACGACCGTCGTACTGACTCAGTTGCTCTAATGTAAAATCTTGTCTNTACAGTTAGATTCCAATGGAAACTCGGACGAATAATCAGATAAATCAATAATAAGCAAAGCAACAGAAGAAAAATTATCAGAGGACAGGTGAGAGCGTCAACCAGGACGGTGTAAAGCCACAACGCAGTCATTTTCATGATGGTTCATAATTACACACAGACCAACAGCTTTAGACTGCGTTACTTCAGGTCAGTCAGTCAGGTCAGGTCAGGTCAGGTCAGGTTGCACAGGACTGGTAATGGCCACGGCCAA